AAAATTATTTCTTTGCTTGTAAATTTCTTTGTTTTTCTATTATATTTGAAAAGACAATTTTAATATAAATATAAATAATTATATAAATATATTCTATATTAATTGCGATCAACAATATCAGTCATTCATGATCGTCATGATGGTGAATATGTTAAAATTTAAAGTATCTCATTTATGTTTGGCTTACGATTGATATTGATTGAATCAACGATGGAAATTAATATAATTGAATATTTTTTTTGAGTGTCAATATAGATGAAAAATAAATTTCGCTCACTTGCAAATGAAAGGAGAATTGCATAGTCTCAGATTCTGTTTCTCGTTGTATATAAGTTTCTGGTATCCTTTCTGTGTAATCATCTTCTTACGCACTTTCTTCCTGGCGAAGCTAATATTTGGCATCGTTTTTATGATCACTAATTCCACTCTACCATAACCACCAGTGCCTATGGTTCCAATGACTTCTATGTCCGATAGAGTCAAGTTTCGAAATTCGTAATCCCAGAAATCCGTGATTGTCGGACTTTTATAATCTTGCCAATTCTTATTTCGTATCGATTCTAATCCGCCGAGGTAGTTCAAAAAGGATCTGTATTAAATAAACAAAATGTCAACGCATTTATTTATCATTTTTCTTTCATCAAACAGTATCGAGTAATTTTTTAATAATTTTTTTATATATAATTTTTACACGAATATATATAATTTATTATATTTGTTTTCTAATTTGCAATTCTATTTTGTAAATTTTTGTGATAAAAAAAAAATTGACTCCAATTTAAAAATTGCAGATTGACTTTCAATTTGACAATTCAAATAGGATTATACAAAGAGTAAAAAAATTGCTATAATAACAAAAAATAAATTTTTAATTTTGTATCGTACTCTCTGTCGATTGTGTAGCATTCGGTTCCAGGTGGTAGAGCGATGGCATTTGCTTGTCGTTTACTATCATTGTTGTATAGGGCTTTTTCTCCAAAATAGTTTCCTTTATGAAGTATCATCAGTTCCTCCTCAACACCATGCAAATTAGTTTTTGTAATTCTGACATTGCCACCGTTTATTATGAAGAACTTATCTCCCGGCTCTCCTTCGCGTATGATGTACGAATGAGAAGAATAAAATTCCTAACATAATAATATTTATTTGTTCATTTTGCAAATAATTTAATACTTTTTATAATAATATTTTTTAATAGATTTTTCTTGAAATGTTTGATATAATATTATTTAAAATAAATGTTCTACTTAAATAAAAGATTTGATAACGATTTATTTTTTATTAAAAAAAAAACAGAAATTATTGAGAAAGAGAAAGCAAAGCTAATTAAATATAATAAATTGGAAATGATAACTTTTACATACCACAGTTATTAAATCGGACATTTTTAAAAGGACTTCCTCAGGAAGCATTTGTAATACAGAAATTCGACGGAAAACTTGCAGATTATAATGCGTATATTCTCTTTCAGTTTTCTGCATTATAATTTGGAAGATTTTTCGATCTAGGACCCAAACTTTACCATTTGTTTGTGCTAAATTAAATTTTTTAATATTTAAACTATTAGTATTTGAGAGAAAACAAGATGACTGATATGTATTAACAATATAATAATGAATTATTTTTTTATGTTTACATTTCCTCTGTAGAAAAATAAGAATAAATGTTTAAAAATAAAAAAATTTATTTTATAATATTAATACCATCAATTGAGCATAATCTTTTCGTGTTGTATAATAATGCTAATTCTCCAAAAGCAACGCCTGATCCAAAATTCCCATAATATATATTATCCACATATATTTCGAAAATCCCATCTTCTGAGACGTATAAATGAGATCCTGATATGAAGAAAAATTATTAAATATTTTTACTTACGTATTTGACATAATTTTATCATTGCCATTACAAGATGAATCTTTAAGAAATATTGAAGTGTATTAACATAGTCTATATATTTATATGTAATGCCATTAAAAGATATTTTCTTTTTCAAAATATTTAATTAAAGCATTTAAAACAGAAACGATAAATAAATTATCGAAATAAAAGTGACTATATTTTACCTATTTCACCCTGGTGGATGAGTCGCGTTTGCCTTTTAACTTTTTTCGGATACATGGATGAAATTATCTTCTCAATACGATTCTCATCGAGATCTCCCAGAAATTTATTGCTTAGAATAGCGCTTTTAATTAGTTTTCGCGTTCTGTGAAAAATATTGCAAAAATTTTGATTAAAGAGTCTTCGGTAATTAGATTAGATTCGGTATTTATTATTTTTCCAGAGCTTAAAAAAGTTAAATTAAATATTTTTAATCTTAAGGACATACTTTTCTTAAAATTAAAATTTTTGTAATTTTAGGAACTTAAAACAATTAATGTAAATTTAATTTTTTGCGTAGAGTATTAATATTCATAAATTTTATAAAGATATTTTTGAAATCTTTAGAAACAATCAAGTTACTTTTGTATTGAATTTTATGATTCTGTCTAACATAATAATCATGCTGATTATTATAAAATTTACGTAGCATATTGTTCGGTACTCTGTGTTTTTATCGAAGTGTGGGATTTCAGCCAGTAATACATCTGTTTCACCAAAAATATCACGTTGATAAGTCAAGTTACGTTGATAAGTCAAAAGCCGATAAAATTGATTGCTTTCCTTCTGCGAATTAGAACGTTTATTAATTTGCGTCAAATTGATTGTGGCTCGAAAAGTATTTCGAAAACAGAGCGTATTCATTTTGTTTTTCTACAAGTTTATCTGTAATTAAATATTTAATTATAAAAATATTAATAGCTTTTATAAGTAGATAAGTAAATAAATAAGTAATATTAGTCAAATTATCTATTATAAAAATCGTAATTTTTATTAAATTATAATTTTTATAATTTTACAAATTTTAGTATAATTTTATCAATTTAGTACAATTTCTACAATTTTATCAATTTCATAAAATTGGGAATTTTGCTAACAATAATAGAGATTATCATTTCGAGATAAATAAAGATTATATTATCTTTTCTCATTTTAAAATTAATTTTTATTAATAAGAAAGAATAATTTTTCTCATAAGAAAGAAAAAGTTGATATTTAATAATAAACAACGATAAGTAAAATTAATTCGTTTGGCTTAGAACTTATTTCTTCCCTTACCTGGTTATAACAAGCTTTTAACGTTATTGATATCAATAGTCAACTGCCTGTTGAATTGAACAACGCAATTGTAGAAACTGTGGTAGATCTTATCTGCAATGTGGATATGGCTAAAGTTAGTTGCCACAGTAATTTATAAAGGTCACCATCGTTATTAACAAAAATACACAGTTTGATAAGATCGATAATATTGTTATATTAGTTTGTCTAATAATATAATTTTTATAACAGATGAATCCTTGTTTTATCTATATGTTTATATATAAATTGTTATATATAGTTTCATAGATAGTGCAATAATGATGTGCAATAATGTATTGAGTTAAATAAAATGTAAAATTTAATAGCGTATGCATACTAAGAGAAGTATATGAAGAAATATATGAAGAAAATATATAAAACATATGAAATATATGAAAAAGATAAAAAATTATTTATTATTAAAATGTTTTGTTATGTAATTAATCTATATATTTTTTAATAATGTATGTTTAATTAAAACTAGATAAGCATTGAATGCTTTACGAGTAGAATAAAGAAACTTAAAAACTTAGAAATAATTTTCTTAATTTTTCAATAAATAATTATACAATCGCAATAATTATAAAATTATTAATTTACGAATATTATATATAGAAGACGTCATCATCTTATAATATTTTTTTTAAATTTTCATGTATAATTATGTAATAATTATGTGATTTAATTATATGACTTAATTATTTTAAAATCTTAATTCCTCTTATAGACAGAAGAATATAAAACATAAAACGTATATTATAGAACGTATATTAATTTATTACAAATGTTATTACAAATTACACGTCAATAGTTTTTACATGAAACGAAATATCAGTTAAGAGAAGACGTATATTCACTTGCGATTAAAATACACCGGAATATTAGTGATTGCTCGTAAAGAAATAATCAGTTCTAATAAAGTAAATTATATTTTACAAATTATTTGTCTATTTAAAAAAGCATCTAATTGAGAAGAGAATAATTTTTAAGACAGAATAATTTTAGAAAAAAGCTATTTTATAATTTTATGATCAATCAAAATAGAAAATATAAATTTCTTGTATAAAGACGATTTACTGTTAACTACTAATTTACTATTAACAAATACCTTTATAATGCAACTTATAATGCAACTCTTCTTTTTTACATTTCGAAATTGTGTCAACGATTATTTTTGTATTTTTGTCATTTTTTTAATAACATTTCATAAAAAGATCTATAATATTTTTATAACTATACGAATGATTAACATATGTATTCTTTTTAATGCATTTAAATATCGTGTGATTCCTGCTTTTATTTCTAGTTTCAATAAATGAAGAATTTATCTTCAGAAGTCGATGTCCCAACCGGAAAACTCATCCGGAGGAATATCGCGATCAGCTGGATATTTTTCAAAGTTACGCGTATCAAGTTGATGTCGCACCTAAAAATGTACAGATAAAATAAATTTTAATATAAGCAAATTTTTTGAATAAAAAATAAAAAAATTAAGGATCGCATTGTTTGAACAAAAGTAGTAAAAAATAAAAAATTAAAATTAAAAGTTTAATATATTAAAAGTAAATTTTGAAATAGATGTACCGTAGGCACAATTGGAGCCGGTAGAGCTAATCTTTGAAGCGCTTGCCAATTGAATCCGGAAAACCATCTATTAGAAAAAAATAGATAGAAGTCACACCTTTTATTATACTAAAGACTAGTTCTTTAAATTTTATGAAGTAAAAATATATTAATCTCTTTCTTTTATGTAAGAATTTTCTAACAACTTACTTATGATCGCGAATATCCTGTATTCCATTTCGTTGGAAACCTAATCGTTCCGAGGCATTCATACGGAGCAGCTTCTTGATAAGATTATTAGCATGTTTATTAACGATATTCGGAATACCAACCATCTCGATACCTTTCAGGATTTTATTGTAAGTCGTCATATGATCGGATCCTCGGAAGGGCGGTTTACCAACGAGAAGTTCGTGCGTTAGAATACCAAGGGCCCAATAATCCACCGCTCTAACAAAGTGGAAAAATAAATGTGATGAAAAATACATTGGAAATCATTATGATAATCGAATAGATGACTGAATTTCGTACCTGTCGTGTCCTTTATTCAAGATAATTTCGGGTGCAACATACTCGGGCGTGCCCGCAAACGTCCACGTTTTAGCTGGACCAATTTTTTTACTGAATCCAAAGTCCACCTATTGAAAAAAATTAATCTTTGCATATAAACCGCCAGTTTTTATTTATAGTTATACAAATAGTTTAAATAATTTAATATAGATTTCCAAAAAATTTGAGTAGAAAATTAAACCAATTAATAATTGAGTATCTCACCAGCTTCAAGTAGCCGCGCGTGTCGAGCATAAGATTCTCTGGTTTGAGATCTCGATAAACGATATTTAGCGAATGAAGATGATCGAGAGCTTCGACTACGCAGCCGACCATAAATTGCGCAGTGGCATCGTCGAAATAACGTCTCCTCTGGAGGGTAGTCCAGACGTCTCCGCCGAGACATACTTCCATGAGGAAATATACGTACTTGTTATCCTTATATGTTTGATAAAGCCTGAGAAGATACGAAATTATATTATATTAATTTGAATCCAACTGATATGATACAAATCTACTTAAAAATTCTCGTATAATTTTATTAGAATTTATTGAAAAAATATTTTTATAAAATCTTTATATTTTACTAATAAAAAGATTATTTAAGATTTTTCATTAGTAAATAGTAGATATTTCAAGTTTTAGTTAAATTATGTAAATAAATAAATAATTAATAGCTATAGAATTTAGATAGCAATAAATAGAGATATCGCTATCTACTTAGATAAACAACTAGTAGACATTCCGGAGGCAGCTATATGAGACTTTCCATTTGGGGGCTATATGAGAAAAACTATGTGGGGGCTAGATGGGAAAAACTAGATGGAGGCAATATGGGAAAAACTATGTGGAGGCTAGATGGGAAAAATTAGATGGGGATTATATGGGAAAAACTATGTGGAGGCTAGATGGAAAAAATTAAATGGGGGCAATATGGGAAAAACTATGTGGGGGCAATGTGGGAAAAACTATGTGGGGGCTAGATGGTCCTAGTAGATGTTCCAAATAAATTGAAATATTATATTTCAATTTGTACTGATTTAACACAATTTTGGTACTAGCTATATATGATAATTATTAATATATGATAATTTCATTAATAATTATATGCATGCTTTGATAATTATAAATTAATCTCGATATATATTACGCTGTAAAAATTTTAGTGACAACTTACTTGCATATGAAAGGTGAATCGCATGCTTGCATAATGTGCTTCTCGTTCAATACGTGCTCTTGCTGTTGCTGCTCGACCATGGCCTTCTTCTTGAGTTTCTTTAGAGCGAAGCTCTTATTCGGGTCAGATCTGAGCGTGACCAATTCAACACGACCAAATCCACCCACTCCTAAAGTTCCCTTCATTTCAAGGTCGACCAAGGTTAAACTCGCATACTCATTGGTCCACTTCTTTGGTGTCAACGAACGCTTTTGCTTCTCGTATTCCGCCAACCAGTCCTTGTTGCGAATCTCGTCCAGACTACCCAGGTAGTTCAGAAATGACCTAGAAATTTTTTCGAGTTATGTAATATTCATTACACGTAAAAAATCTTAAAACTATCATTTATTAATTAAACGTTTCTTTATAAATAATATATTACAATAAAATATTAATACATTTGCAATAATATAATAAACATAATAGTGCAATTTATGTCGAGGAGTAAATCTTAAATCTTCAAAATGATTATTAAAAGACATTAACAAAATAAACAAAATTTTATTGTTTTAAATAAATATGGAAATATTTCAAATTAAATAACAGAAAATTCATAAAAATAAAGATAATTTTTTTTACTTTTAATACCTTTTAAGTTTCAATTATAAATAATTAGATACTAAACGTTCACTAAGTACGACATACTAAATGTGTACTAATTGAACTTACGTTCTGTCCAATGTCAAACATTCGACACCAGGTGCAAGTGCAATCGCGTTGGCACGTCGTTCTCCCTCGTCGTCGTAGAGAGCCAATTCGCCGAAATAATCTCCTTTGCTGAGGACCACCAGTTCCTCCTCGCCTCCGTATTCGGTATACTTGGTGATTCGTACGTTTCCTCCGCTGATTATATAAAATTTTTCACCTTTCTCGCCCTGTCGCAATATTTTTGCTCCAGCTGGAAAAAATTCCTGCAAATTACAATATTTTTAAAAATTATATCATAAACAGCAAGCAGGACGATATCTTTTAAGACGATTCTTTTTATTTACTATTCTTATGAGATCGGATATCTTCGCGAGCACGTGGTCCTTAGGTTCAGGAAGTTTTTGGAGAACGGAAACTCGTTGGAGAAAGCGAATGTTGCCTTCTAATTGTTCCTGAGCTGTTTTCATCATTATAGTTAGAAATACTGATCTGTCAAGCACCCATACTTTCCCAGGTTTCTTTACTGAAATAACACAAAATTAAACAAATATTAATAATATAACATAAATATTTCTTAAACAAATTTCTAATTTTTTTAAATTTTACAGTGCATTATAATGTATTCAGTAATATTGTAAATTATGTTACATGCGTATGTGTGTTTTATTTTACAAAACTTTATAAAACTTTCTTTGTAATATTTATAAAATATAAGTTTAATTGTATACTCTGCTTTATTTTTAGATTTTAATCAAAATTATTGATGGTAATTTGACGTTTACCGCTAATAGATCGAAGTCTTTTTGTATTATACAATAGGGCGATCTCTCCAAATGCGACTCCTGGTCCGAAAGTTCTTTGAAATTTATTCCCTTCGTAAATGTCGAAATCTCCCTCTGCTGATACGTACAAGTGGGAACCTATAAAAAAAAGAATATGCGTATGAAGATTTACGTGCAATTATATACATTAATATTTATAATTCTAATATATTTGTAATATAAAATTTAATTATTTTTGTGATACGCTCTAATATTTATATAAAAAAATATGGAAGATTAAATACAAATGTACCTATATCGCCTTCTCGGATGACCATAGTATTAGCAGGAATTTGTTTGGGATACATAGCGGAAACGAGTGCTTCCACCTGATTTTCTTCAAGATTACCTAGAAATTCATTTTCCAAAATGGCTCTTTTAATTTGCCTCGCACTCCTATAAGTAAAATAATATTACGTTTTATTTTTCCAAAAAAGAGATAATAATTTGAAAACAATTATATACTATATACATGAAAAATTTATTTTCAAATTAATATTATTCTTTATAATTATAATTATAAAGAATTTTAATACTAGCTCCTATAAATCATATCATATTTATTTATTAATAGCTTTTAATCACCTGGCATCCTTTTCGTATACAGGCGTCGGTGCTGAAGGTGGAGTCGGCGTCCTTCCGATGACGCCACCCCTTGGATTATTCGTATGTTGTTCGCCATTGTTCATGGCAGCTGTATCTTCTAATCCGGAATGTTCTTGATGTGGAATAGATAATTGATGATTGATATGATTGACTTCAGATGACGATGACGATGACTCGGTGATTTTCGTGAGTGATGTGGATGACGTGGATGATGATGGTCCATTTATAGTGCCATTTATAGTTAACGAGGGGAAGGTTCCAGGTAACGGACGGATCTAATGGAATAATATTTTAATAAGATTTTCTTTTATTTCTTGAGCAAAGTTTTTTAATTAACACATTGACTGATATTGAAAATTAAAATACTTTTTTAAGATGCCTTTTTTATAGCTTTTTATATTTCTATAAGATTTTATAATCTGTAGAAAAAATCGATATAAAAATAAATTATTTTATTTTATTAGAATTGTAAAGAAATAATACAATAGTTAAAATTTAATTCTTCTGTAGCTTCCGTGGAGTAAAAAGATAGGCAGCACTCTCTAAAAGGGTGTTCAGTATGTTGTAACCAACTTAATGAATTTACTAGGTAGTATATTATAGTCAATATGATAATTAGAAAGTTGATTTTTATATAATCACGTTTCTTTTAACATTGAGTGAATTCATTTATGAATTAAAAAAATAAAACTTACAACGCCTATGGTGAAGCTAGTAGAATCCTCATAGCCCGGCAGAGGGGTGAGATTAATGCTACCCCTCTGCCCGAGGATGTTGGCCCTCGGGAAACACGAGAACCTCATGTTATCTTCGTCCAACGCATGTCCAAAGCAAATTCTTTTAATGCCTGAAAAAAGAATATGTCTCTCTTCAAAAGTCGACTGAAAATCGCGACAAATTCGACAAACGTCGAATAAACAGCGAACATTTGTTGTTATCAACAGATATATATGCCAAAATGCATGCAAATAAAATGTTTGATTCATATTTGGTTTGATTCTCTCGCGAGACGATACATCAAAGAAAAAACTTTATTTTATTAACAAGAAAAATTGTAAAGTAAGAAAAAACATTACATATATATTAGGAATTTGTAGCACAAATATATTTTTTGAGCAACATTATTCTATAATTAATATCTTATATCTTTTGTTGATATATTGTAATTAATTTACAACGTATCTGTTATAAATTATTGTGTTTACATTTATTATTTCATCCGTAATATTTAATACAAAAAAGACCTTTATTATTTTGTCGAAAATCAAAGTTTGACAGCAATTTAATCATTTTCCTATGGAACAATTAATTTCACAAAGCAGACATATATAGATTAAGAAGCTCCTATTTAATCTCCTTAGACACGTTGATGTGACATAACATGATTTTGTTTATCATCATATGTACACCTAAAATATCTCGTCAATAATCGTTTCTCGCCTGCCTCGAAAAATAATTAAGTTAATAGCCTTATAATTGAGCAAAATATACAATACTAGGTCGATCATTTTGGTCATTCACTCACACGTGTCACGTTTCTTTCTTCATAGCAACTCCTAGCAGGTGATCATTCTTCGATATCGCTTCACGAAGAGGTCATTCGTGACCAGCACTTGTTTTCTTCGTCGAACGCTTCGATCTGTGTCGAGTTGTGTTCCGCTCATGGTTTTACATACTACTCCACTTTTCGTGACACGTTACTTTTTTTCATGCGACTCTTGTTCTGCGGTCTTGTTGTGAGAGCCAATTGCTTCCACACCAGTCACATGCTTATGCTAATGGTGTTTGGTGCACGTGATATATTGTGCCTTGACGTCACAATGCATTAGCACATGCTTATGATGATGAGAATATTCTCGACTTCACCAAGTCCGATCATCCTTTCCTTTTCGTTAAAGTTTCCATTTCACAATTATGGTAATTCTTTTACAAAGAAGCGCTACGAAGATATGTTAAAGATTTCGAAATGTATTCCCTAAATATTACGATAAACGTCACTCGTGAATTTGCAATTTGCATTACTGCGTTTTTAATATTTCTTATTATTCCACGATTTATAAATTAATTTTGTATATAAAATACAATATAAAAATATTTTACAGATTAATTGTAGGAATCTGTTTAAAACAAACCAAAGTTAATTTTTATAATAATTTTATTCTTTCCTTTCTACAAGATCCTTTTCGTGCAAGCTAAAAACTTAATTTGATAGGTCAATATTATTGATACGAGGTTTTTTTTTAAAACCACTGATAGGAAGTTTCATGTTTTTTTCTTTATAAAAAATGTTTTCTATAAAGTTATACATTTTCTTTTGTATATACATATATAAATTACTTCTAATTGCCAATTATAAGTGGAATATATTTTATCAAAAACTGAGAGACTCACGTGTTGTTTTCTTCAACAGTGCTCTCTCAGGGAAAATCCGTGACGAGGTTTGTGTAAGATTTATCTTACGCAGCTTCTCGCTAATTCAGGCCACGCGACGCCTCGCTGTTGATTTTGTCGCGATGTGACAATCAACGATTCATTTGGTTTCATTAAAATTTTTCGCAAGGTACACGTGATACTTTATCTATTTGCTTCTAATCCATCGGATATTGTTTTATGGGAATCGTGAGGTGTTACTTTGTTTATCACCACTATGCAAACAGCGTAGGAATCTCGAGGTTATATCTTTTAGACGTGTTCATTATTCATGACGTTTTAAAAATCTTAATTATACCAATTATTACTGTTTAGCAACGTCGATATAAACTGATTTTTCCTCTATCAACGTTGAAAGAAACACTTCTCGGAATTTTTAAAATTTAACAATGAATACTCCAGCAATTAAATAGAACATATATTTATATTTCAAAATTAACTGGAAACTTTTGTTATATGTATTCGTAAAATTTAAATCAAGTCTTTTGTTTTTACAATTGTCTGTAATTAAAAGAACTTTTTATTTTTAATTGTTATCTTTAAGTTTAACTTTCGAAAGGAACAACTCTCCTATCCTCATATTAATTTCAGTTATCAAATATTTTATATATAAATATTATATGTTACGTTGTTTGCGTAAGGAATATTTAAAACATTAAATTTTTGAAAATTTTAATTAAATTAAAAAAAATTTTGTTTTAATAGATTGCAAGAATATTTTGGTAAGACGCGATCTTAATTCGCAGAATTTTCAAATGATGCATAGCCTCTTTACGGATGCAAGGTCGGCTGGTCTCGGATTGTACGCATTATATTGGGAACATGATAACAATATTTGATTAAACATGCGAGTAAACGATTGCTCAAGCCCTAAATATAGCGCGTATCCACCAAGTATGCACTCGTTGTAGCATGCACGATATGCGCGACTCTGCATGCGATCAATTAATCAGTAAGTGATTTCGAAAAATTTTTAGAAATTTTAAATTTGTCACCGCTTCTTTGCGTTCTAATAATAATAATATGCTAAAGAGAAAAAAGTGCTTTGAAATTGTCTACGATAAGAAAATTGTGTCAGAGGCGATACGCAAACAATTGCCTCGCTGAAATAATTGAATTTAAGCCTATGAGAGCCTAGAGATTCTATCGCGCGCGCTGAACTATGAAAATTATATAACCATAATTAATGAGGTGATCGTATCATTGTTCATTATTTCAGCAGGCAAATCACGCGTTTTACCATTGCATCCAGAAATGAAAGATAAGAAAGCCCTGTGCCTTTCCGGTGTCACATAATGTATGAAGTAATTAGATAATATTTACGTAATAGAAAAAAACGTAAAAGAAATAAAAAAATCATCTTAAATTTGTAATTAAAATAAATTTTCAAAGAAAGAGCTACTGTCTATTGTATACAACAAAAAATGTATAGCCTAATAAAATAAATTTGACATTGTTAGAATAATAAAGAGTTATTGTGGAGATGTGTTTATTATATTTTCATAAATGTGTATGATTAAGTTATGTAAATAATTATTCTTAAAATTCTTTAATATTGCATTAAACTTGAAAGAAACACAATACCGTTCTTTTAATCCAACGGTAATTAATTGCAGAGGTTTTCTTTTGTGGAAAAGCAATTCAATAATAATTCAAATAATGCTGCATTTATTCGCCATATTTAATTGCTTTTTTTATAACTTACGAAATAGTATATAAAATAATTGAATAAGCATTTTATTTATATCATGAATTATATTGTACATATATAGATTTTACAATCGTTACGTTTTATAGAGGAAAAGTATAATGTCAAGGAGGAAAACGCGATCGAAAATAGTGGCCAATCGACGTCAATTATATACGCAATTCCATGCTCTTAATGAGAAACGACATTTCCTGTCTCTGAAATGACGACTATGCATCGTTAACGGCTCGGAATTAAAGTCTCGAGGCGCAACAACTGCGGTTCGCGCCTCGATGTGCAGCGATGTGCACTCGACATAACGCGTAGCGCATCACGCGACACTTCTTTCGCTTCGTTTTTCAATTCAGCTGTTTATGTAAAAATTGCGAGGTCGCAAGTCACGGAAATGATGAGAACGTAACGATATTGTAATCTGTTGCACAATGCGCAGCTCGGTGTCGATTTTCCTGATGGAAAACATACGATATTTAAACGCACGTGTGTCATCGTGATTGCGAAAAACCGATGACAAGAATAAATGATAATATAACTCCTGCCTCGTTGAATTTTAAAACGTTCGTCGGAAATGCGACTTTTTAAGTACTTGAACGAGTTATTCGTGGATGCGATAACAATTTGGATTTGGCTTAATAACTAGCAGATTTACACAATATCTTGAAACTCAAACGCTTTTTTCACGAGTTTTTTCTCACTTCATTCTTAATTTAAATTTTGTCACATCTATTTACAATAATTATATTTCTGATATTTACAGAAATTATTTTTTATTAATAATGTAATATTCAAAATAATTTATATACATTTACACAAAAGTTGATCTAACTAAATTGTTAAACTGACAGCTTTATAAGCAATTATATTAGATACATAATTTATATATAGCTTAATTCTAATTTAAGAAGAGTCAAAACACTCTTAAAATATATTTTTTACATTTGACATTTTTGCAATAATTACGTAAAGATTTTTTTTCTCATGTCGTTGTGTTAATTATGACTTATGTTAGTCTCCCGATTTAGACTTCTTCACGTGGAGATATTTTTATGTTTTGTAAATATTTTATAACATAACGTAAAGATAATGCTATATATGTTAAGGCAACAAGCATTGCCCGATGTTTTATCGATATATTTGCAAAGAGGTCTGCGTATACATTTCAAGTCGCGGACAATTAAGGTAACATTGTTTGGTAATGTCAGTTACATAGGCGCCTCTTTATTACAGGCACGTTTAATCAACTGTATCGACAACAGTTGCCGAGGTTAATTAACTTTATCCGTGTATACGTACGGCAATAATTAATTTTCTTAAAACCACACGTGCGTATTACGCGCACGTTGGTTTTGTGACGTACGTGTAGAGCTACTTTTTGTAGGTTTATTTATTCATTATTTTCAACTCGTCGCTCACATCGCTTGCCTTTTTTAAATTCGTACAAGTTATCTATGCTCAAGGCAAATAGAGATGTAAGCGCAGTGATAAAAGAGAAGCTAGAAAAATCTAACTTCAGTTAATCTTCAAGCTTCTTTGTTATAAGAAAACCAGATTGTTTCATTGCGTAATAATTTTTCAGTATTTATATATAAAACATTACATTATTTATTTTATATATTAACATTAATTAATATTATTGTGTTATATATAAATATGACATATTAATTAATTTTATTTTTATGAATTAATTTTTAATTATATAAAATTCAGCATTATATGTATACTTTATAAGAGCATTTGAAAATAAGTATTAAAATAAGTAAAATAATATAAAAAACGATACATTTAACTAATATATAATTTATTTTTTGTACAAGAGAGAGTTGAATATTCCGAATAATTAAGTTACTTAACAATGTATTTATGCTCTCATCGCGGCAGCGATGATATTACAGAAATCTTATCACCCGGCTGTCTTGTTTCGATTATCAACATCGGAATGCAACATCGATCTTGAAATTTATCAGCCTAGAATGATATCGGGAACACGAATCAACGTTTCCGTGGGTCGATTAGATAATCGATCGTGCGGATAAAAGATATGCGTGCGAGGAGGGTGAAACGTCTGTCTTGGCTTTGTCCTTTTGACAGAGCGAATTCGATGACACGTGTAACGCAATTAGCGCGATGCTCAGTCATCTTTTGAAACTCACCCTTCAGGTTGACGTGAGAGATGTTTCAAGACGGATTAGAGAATCCTGCGCGCCGGGAGGAGGGGGGGGGCTCCCGAAGGATGACAGATCGTGACGTCGAGGAGGATCACGCGCTTCCCGCTCGCGCGATTTCGAAACGAGGAGACATGAGCCTTTTTTTTCCAAGTACGACCGCACGGAGGTGCACCGCACGAATTCGCACGTCCGACTGGTGCCTCAAGTACGACAAAGACGCAGAAATCTTATCTAGCCGATAACAGAGCGGCGACGAGCAGTGTCAACAGCAGGTATATGTGGCGCGCGAGCATCTTATCTAATGAGTCTATTCTCTTTCCATTAATAAAGGCCGCCTTTGCGCTCTTTATCGAATATTCATACAAACAATTATAACTTCCCGGAGAAACATTATATTCTTGGCGTTGCGACAACGTTAAGCTTCGCTTGTTTAAGCTCCCGTGTGCGAAAGTAGAAATAATAATTAAAATCACTTCGTTAATTATTAAACTTTATTCTCTTTTCTCTATTTCTCTGTTTCACTGAAATGAGCAGACTCATGATTTCGAATAAATTATAACATTTGCCGCAGCGATAATTATTATATATAGGCTTTCATTAAAGCGGAAAATTGGTAGTTGAAATTTAAGAAACAAGTTGGACAAAATAATCTTAATTTATTTTATTCATTTAAATGTATATATAGTTATTTAAATGTATATAGTTTGAAGATTAAAATGCTAATTTTATGTATAATACATAATTATATATATCTTTTTGACATTAAAACATGTACATAGACATGCTAATTTTTGAATTATTTATACTTATAGAAATTCATATTTTCATGATTAAAGAAAAATGTTTAAACATGAAACAATTTTTCCTTTGAATATGAATACTAATTTGTCTTTATGTGCTGATTCAGCATAATTTTCTTTAATTTGCATCCTCATGTAGCAAATTACGGATGTATGTTTAAAATTTTCAACAAGCTTTAGTATAACTAGACTTAAAAGTACAACTAGACTTCTAGATAATATTATCAAAGTAATGTTTTATCATAAATGTTTAAAGTGCGTCAGCGACAATAATTAAGTAACATGGACAAAACAAGTAACATGGAAAAAAATGTCTAAAGACATGCTTATAAGTATTGCAACATGTACATAATTGTGTTTAAAGATATTATTATTATGTGTTATTGCAATTTCTAAAAATAATCGCGAAACATTTTTTGTAAGACTTTAAACAATTAGATTATCGACTGATATTTAGCAACCTTGAAAGATCATTTTAGCTTACTGACAAGTGTTGCTAGCTAATAAACTAAAAGAATCTTTTTCTGCTCTCATTTGTCTTTATATTTCCTGCATTCTTATCTTTGTAACGATGATCTTTTATCGTGAATTTTTATCGCGTTTATTACTTATATACCTTAGTTTTTCAACATTATGATAAATGATGTAATTCCATTTATTTCGGTGTTTTAATATTTTTCTTATCGGAGAAGAGACAAAAAGAGAAAAAAAGAGAAAGAAAGGGTGAAGCAAGAAACAGTTAAACTGTATTTGCTATAAATTTTTTACTCTAATTTATTTAAATAATTTTGCTTTTGCTTGTTCTGCATCTATTTGATTTATCAAGATGAGTAATCACCCTTCTTTCTTATCATTCTCCGTTTTTTAGAGACAATTAGATAACATTAAATAAACAAAGGGGCTAGCTCTTTTTTCTAGAATTTGAATATTCATTATTTGAGTAAAATCAACATCTAATTTAATTTATTTATACTCTTTTACAATAACTCAGTTAAAACAATTGTGATATTTACGTTGTGTCATATTCTTGGTAATTTTAGTAATAATGATTTAAATTTTTGTTGCTTCTATAAATTTAAAAATAATTTTTGTTAAATAACAAATTACGATGAAAAATTGTGTATCGAATTCTTATAAATCATATAATATTCTTACATATTGACATTTAATAAAAAATAAAAATTGTCTGCAAATAATTTATTCATATTTATTTATAATTAATATTAAATTTAGAAAATTGTTATATCTCGATATGCCTACATGCTATAAAAATAAAAATTATTAATAAAAAATGCGGAAAAACTTTATATAAATTTATATAAATTTATATTTCATAAAAAAAATTGTTGATGTTTCATCTCGCAAAAATCTACTAATAAAGTGCCTGTAGTTATTTTATTGGAAATACTTGCCTTTCTTTATGATTTCTTGATCTCACCAATTATCCTTATATTCTTGCGCTAATAAAATGCACAATAAAACGAAAAACGTTTCATTTTAAAAAACAAGTATTTTCCTTGAAACACGTTTACAAATACATTCTTGTCATTTTCGTCGAATTGCTCGTAAACGCACGATGATGTTTGTCACTGATTTGATGTATTTCAACTGTCACTTAAATTTTAATAGTTAATAATTCACATATTACGCTGTTTGCCAAAAACAGATTTATCGTCATTAAATTAAAGTTTCACTAATAATAATTATCGCTCAATTGTCACTGCAAAATATGGTAATCGATTAATTAATTATTTTTTTTTTTAAATTTGGATCAATCAAAAATTCACGATTTATCTTAATTAATTTATTAATCACAACTGCAGATACAAGTAACTTCATAGGACAATTGTGTCAATAAAATATGTTTTTTCTTCATATCGTATGTTCACAGCGTATGTTAAGCTTATCGTCACCGTTTCACCAATTTACTCGATCGGAGCCGAAAAGTGCTGATAAGCGAAACAACTCCAGTGCTATCGACAGACCGGCTTCGGTGCCACTAACAGAAAAACGCGCTCACCTTTTCTGCGATGGTAGATACAGCCGACGATGTGGGGATATTGGTTATATATATATATATATAATTATTATCGTTTGGCACTCTTATCCGTGCAATATACCGGGCGTTGCGTTTGGGTCTTAGAATAAGGATAAGCCGTGATCTTTCATATATTTATAAATTATAATTTCAAATATATTGTACTTATGTTATAAAATGAAGACATTGTATAAAAGTAGTAAATTAATCACGCGTGTCAGATTAGTATAAAAAATAAAGCTCCTTATCATGAATTCCTATAACATCTTTAAATTATAAAAAAAAACTTTATATTTCTATTCTAAAGCAGTCTTTCAATTTGTATCTTAAATTGAACTCCGCTGTATCAGTGGAGTTAATTGATACTCCTCATGATTTTTTTCATCATTGTTTACCGCCTTGCTCAATCGCTTTGATCATCGCGGAGAAGACTCCATTTTGCCTTTGCATTAAATCTGCCGGTGTACCTTCTTCGATGATTTTGCCCTCGTCGAAAACGAGAATGCGATCGCAATCCAATAAAGCCGCCGCGCGATGCTGCATAAAAAATTAATTTTATTAAAATTTGTTACCTTTATTCTATTCTAACAAGATAAAATTCTTGAGCGTAGAGATTTTAGAAAATATTGAGAAAAATTTGTCGCTTCTTTATCACACTTTTCAATTTCACTTACCTATAATTTTCTTTTTTATAACACTTTTATCTACTACATGAATAATTTCTAAAAAATAATTTCTAAAAATTATTAATAAAATTATTAATATCATTTTTATGATACTTTGCTATCTATTACATACATGGGTAATTTCCAGAAATATAATTAAAATTATTTTCAATTTTATCAACAACAAGAAATTTGTTAACAACTTAAAACAATTTAATTAACTGTAACTGTATTATCATAATATATCATTTAAATCTTAAATTTAAGAATTTAAGAAACAATATTAAATTTAACAAGTATGCAAATTGAGCATATATTTAATTAATAACTTGTTTAATTAAAAAAACACAGAAAATCGATCAGACTGCGGTTAAAATTAGTCGACTCAACATACAGGAAATATCGATCGTTTAATCAAAGTATGTACCCAGTTTACCCAGTTTATAGCATATGCTTACTAACCGCGATAGTGATTACAGTTTTGTCCTCGAAAGCGACAGCAGCGGCTTTTAAGAGTGACTTCTCGGTGGCTATATCGAGCGCACTAGTCGCTTCGTCGAGTACGATGATATTCGATCGTTGAAGAATCGCACGTGCCACGCAAAGCAGCTGCAATTGACCGGCTGAAAAGTTCTCACCGCCTTCTCGTACCTCGAGACCTACGCCAAAGTTAATTTCAATTATTCTAGATTATCATTTTAAATATATTTTATTACTTTATTATCATTTTATGATTTTTAAATATATTTATCATGTTATTTTATATTGGCGTCGCGCATATTATTGTCACATACTCAGTCCCTCGGGATGCGAAGCTATGACGTCCTTGATTTGTGAGAGCTCCAAGGCTCGCCAGATCTCTTGATCCTTGTGTTGTGAAAACGGATCTAAATTTTCTCTACGAACAGTGATTAGTTTTAAGCTCAAATATGTAATCCTTGAATGAAGATTTTGTATGCTTTGTGATTGACGATTAGATGCAACACGAATATATTTGTAAACCGCGAGAATCAAAGACTAGACGTTTTGCAGTAATAAGAGATTTGCGATTGTATTGTTTACCTGATTGTGCCGCTAAACATTATTGCATCTTGCGGTATGGCCGATAACCGCGATCGCAATATTTGAAGAGGTACTTTCCGGATGTCAATTCCATCCAGTAAGATGCGTCCTTGACTGATTTCGATCAATCGAAAGAGAGCCATCACAGTCGATGATTTTCCGCTACCAGTTCTTCCACAAATACCTAACTATAAATATTACAAATACCTAACTATAACTATAAATATTAATAATTATATAATAAAATGCATATTAAATAAAATAAAAAAATATGCATAATATTAGAAAAATTTAGTAATTATAATGATTATATTTATATTATCACATATTATCACATAATTTTATTTATATAATTGTATATTATTTTAATTATTGTTTTAACTATAGATTATTATTGAATACCTTTTGCTTAGCTGGTATTTTCAACGATAAATCTGTAATTACCGGGTTTCTGTTTACATCATAGCGCAAACAGACATTTTCGAAAACGATCTCGCCCTTATTCGGCCAATCATTGGCAACTCGTACACCTAAAATCCGACAAATAAAATTAGCGTGTGTATAATAAGAAAGATAATGGAATTAAATATTATTCGATGAGCGAAAAATATTTTTACATCATACGAGACTTAATATACTTTGTATTTTCAATAATACATGAATAAGCGCTAAGCAGTTTCCGGAAGTTGATTCATCGCCAATGCCAGATATTGATCGATATTTAAATATAATTGAGATACTGTGTACGATATCGTTTTGATAGATAATGATAATATAAGAAAAGATGAAAGATTATCGCAAATCTTGCGATTGTAAGCCAACTAATATTTAATAATAGAATTTTCAAGAACAAAAATTATCGCTTGTTTATTAGATTTAGTTTGCGCATGTCATAAACTAAAAATTATGTAATATTATAATAGATTAATGATAAATTTCGTTTATGGATATTTATCGGTATTAATACGTTAAGAATCTAAAATGCACTTGTAGTATATTAAATGTTCAGATTTTATCCGCGATGTTTGCTTTGATATTACATATCAAACACAAAACTTTAATAATGATAACATATGAACTTTTTATTCCTAAATTAATGACACTGATTTCAGGCTGAAACAATTACCGTTTTCGTGAAGTTTCTCAGGTAACACGTTTCTATAAGCGCAAATTCGAGCTACGCTCCCCATATACAACTCGATCTCTGCACTAAATTTGATCATCCAATTTAACATCGGTACTAAAAGAGTATAATTGATCGCTAGACCTACTAATCTAGGTGTTACGCGATTTGGATATAATTCCACAGAAAGTAATGCCGTAGAGATGGCTATGACCACGATAACGGCGCCCAAATAATCCTACAATTATTTACAAGACAATGAAAATTAAAATTGTGTCATTAAAATTAAAAACTTTAGATATCCTGTGATTTATGTAACCACATATCTATTGTTTATAATAAAGCTACGATAATACAACAAATTTGATAATAATAACGTGAGTAATTTTTGAAGATTAATTATAATTATCAAACAAAAGATCAGCCTTTATGAATTGGCTTAAATTTTATGATGTTTATTATACTTGGTTTTTACCAATGCGATGCCGAACCATCTGCTGCTACTGTTCAGAATGAGAAATGCGTTGGTATTTATGTCGAGACGTTTCATGATCTCCTCCATGAAGCGATTCTCTTGCTTGAATGCCCGCAGTGTTGGAAGTCCAGACAAGGTTTCTGAGAAATGCGCTACTACCGGTCCTCTCGTACTTGAAACATTATGAAAATTTATGTAATTAGTTATATATTCTAACGAGAAAGTGAACCAATGTATATATAAACAAATTTAACAAAATTTTTATACAAGCGAGATCATAATTTTTAATACCTGCCATCTAGACATTGCAATTGCCTAGCGGTCCGCCTGTAGAATTTTTGCAACGCATAATAAGCGCAGCTAATTGGTACAACGGTAATTAAGAACCATGGTGAGGTAATAACATTGATTAGCATTACCGAACCACAGAGTAGTGCAAAAGATGTTAATCTTTTGATTGCCGTAGCCATTTTCTTAAGAAAACACAGAGTAATTTAATTTAAATTTAATTAAAGATAATTTTATATTCGTTAATTAATTATTTTTGACAATATTTGTGTAACATTTAATAATCTCATGATTGCAAAATACAAAAAATATAATTGTAATATCGAAATCTTTATTTACCTTATCTATGACACTCATATCTGTACTGAATCTACTTAGGATTTTCCCAACAAGATTACAATCAAAAAATGAAATGGGTGCGCCAAGAAGTCCGGCGATAGCTTGTTGGTGTAATTTCCGTCTCGCTCTAGCACCTGCCCATTGTCCTGATACATTGTAGAGTATCGATAAAAAAATGGAGGTTACAGATATGATGATATACATCATAGAATAGGACATCGTCTGTAAAAGGATCAAAATTATTCTAAAGAAATTTAAAGAATACATTTACATTTACATTTTTCTTCGTTGCAAAAACTTTCATTAATCATTTTCAATTTTTAAGCATCAATACCAATATCTTTTCGTAATAATAATAACTTTAGTCTTGACTCGTTAATATTAGACATAGGATGTGTAATCAATTAATTACTGACTTTCGTTTCGATGCAGATTTGGTAATTCTAATTATGGATCGTTGAGCGATACGTGAGTGCGATATTTTTATCATTGTGAAATTAATCGTAATAATATCCACGTGCATTAATGTCTATTTACGTTCAACGGCGAATGAATCCTTTCCTCCATCCATTCACTCAACCAGAAATCAGTATATACACGAAGGACTTGAAAGATTAATGCTGCTATGACGTAAATTAATTCTGGTATCCATCCAGCTGCTTTTGGATATTCCATCCAAATCATTCTAGTGACCATTCCACTTTTATCGTCAACTTCAAGTTTATCTTGTTCGTTTACATCATCTTCGTTCAAAGCTGAGAGAAAGATTTAGATATCAGAATTGAATATTTTTTATAAATCTTAAGAAAAGAGAAGATGAAAAAGAATTTGTAAATAATTAAATAAACATTTAAAAATATTATTATTAATAATTCTGATAATTATAAAACTAACTTTCTTCTAAGTTGTCCATTTCATCGGTAGTTCGCAATTCCAACGATTGTTTCACTGGAAAATGATGGTACTGATCATGATGCTGAGTAATCCTAAAAAAAAAAGCGAATGGAATATTTAATTTTCAATTATTTATTTATATTTTTTAAAAATTTATTCTGGTATAATTACTTATTGGGACCTGGCATCAATTGAGACAGAGTATTTTTGTCTTTATTCATTACTATTTCATCCGGATATCTAAAATTTCATATATTATTATTTTCATACATTTTTAATTGTATTTTATCATTATACATTATTTGTAAAAAACAAAAATTTAAAACCTTCCAGAGAATAATTGCTTTAGTACGCTGCTGGGTTGTCCATTATTATAAGTGTTATTTCTTCTTCTATAAAGAAATAAAACAATAGAATATTAAATTTGTTGAATACTAAAAAAATATAAATGTATATTATTTCATATAAATAATCTATTTTGTAATCGCAAAGAAATTTAAATAAAAAGTAATCTGTGAGTAAATATTGACTGATTTGAGTTTTTATCTGAAATGTTCGAAAAAATAAAATAAATTTTTTAAAAATGAAATGAATGTTTCAAAATCTACCTTGATATGCGTCGATTTTCACGAATCACTGGCGTGCTGTTCTGTCGACAAAAAATCGATGCTGGTTGTTTTTGCATTTGAAAACTCGGAACTCTAACGATATTACTATGCGTTATTGATCCTTTCCTAGCAGTTTCCCATTCTTCTGCTGATATTGAAAAATCCGTGAAAACATGACTCCAATACATTGATCCGGATAAAGCTTCTCGGCGCAGTCTTAAAGGTATGAACGCTGGTGGATTCTAAAACGTTTGCAATAAAATAATGTTAACATGTTATTATTTATATATATTTCTACGATAAAACTATTTCTGTATTGAACTTTATCAGAAATGACATTAATGTATTTGAACTTTTTATTAGTTACTACATGTACATCACGCTCGTCACTAGCGTGGTTTCTCACTTTGTTCAATCCGATCTTGTAGACTAGTTTAATCAAGGACCATCTGTCTTCAGCAGTTTTTTGAAAACGCTTTTCGTCCTCGCGTTGTCTTGAATTCATGATTCGCCATTCTGCTGCTAATTCAGGATCCACGTCTTCGATGCTGGATTTTGTTCCGACCGCGCGAACTCGACAACCATCCATGACAATTACCTTAAAATAACATTGTATGCAACTTCTTATTTTCTTAACTTTTTGTCTTCTCCTAACAGCTATCAATTGTTCTTTTTATTCATTGTTTCTGTAAATTATTCAATGAATAAATAATTCTTAATCTAATAGTGCGTGTAGAATAACAAAGACATATTTCATTTGTGTATTGTGTAATACATATTGAGTCTTTAAAAAAATAGCATAAAGTATAAAAATAAAACCTGATGAGCAGATGATAATAACTCCAGTCTGTGAGTGATCATAATTACTGTCCGACCACTTCTCAGCAAGAGCTTTTTTATACCGTGATCGAAGATCTGTTGACCGACATGTTGATCCAATGCCGACAATGGATCGTCCTGTAAGCAATTTTCAGTTGTATTTGCATATAAATATTTTGTACAGAAAATTGACGTTAAAAATTTAAACTATAAAGGAAACGAACCAAGAGCACAACATCGGTATCACTGTAAAGAGCTCGAGCTATGGCAACCCTTTGCTTCTGTCCGCCACTCAAATTGATTCCTCGTTCGTCTATTCTCGTTAGATCTCGATCGGGAAGTATGTCTATGTCCGGTTGAAGAGCACACGCATATAGCACATTGCGATATCTTCGTGACCGATATGGAGAACCGAAGAGAATATTGTCCTTCAAGGTTGCATTTTGGAGCCATGGTTGTCGCGCCACATAAGCGATCTTCAAACCCCTGAAAAACAACTTATGAAATTTTTAGTCGATAAAGATTTATTATCATCATAATTAGAATCTATCGTTTTATCGTTCGTTTCTTTCTTTTTTTCTTGTTGTATATTACTTGGTCCATGCAACGCTTCCGCTTGTTTTTTGAATCTCTCCTAAGAGCGCCAACAGTAAGGAAGTCTTTCCACTTCCGGTTTTTCCTGTTATTATAGTCAATTGTCCTAGGAATTTAATGTTTTTAGTTCATTACATTTAACTAAATGATAAATGTATTAAATTTTTATATCTATAATATGTTGTTTAATATCTCGAAATTCGTGTCCTATTTTTAACATTATTTACCTCGCGGGAAATTGAGAGCATTAATCATCAATGTATTTTCATCAGATCTCCAGGCGAAAGTACTTGGTGTAACTTTGAGAATAGATTCCGGGATTTCTGTCTCTTTTTCAAATACTGTATCGGTAGAAGAGTCAATTGGCAAATTGAATTCACGCAAAACTTCTCGTGTATCTTCATCATCCTTCATGATATTGCCCAACGATCCGAAAGTTGTAACATTGTTAATTGCTTCTACCTTGAAGAAAATAACATGTCATGTCAACCTGTTATTATTTCTTTGAAACATATATATTTAATAATTTCGTAATTTAAAGCAAAAATTATAATAAAAATTTCGTAAAGCAAAAATTATAATAAAAATTTATAAAGCAGAATTATGACAAATACATGATGAGAGGAGTTAGCCTCGATAATTTTGACCTTTTGTTGTTTCATCACATATATTTCAATATTTTATTTAAAAAATAAAATAACTCACAATAAAGAAAAGAATATAGATAAAGAAAGAATAAAGAAAACTCACATCATTATCGGTACATGAATTTGTCTTTGAAAAAATATTTGTCGTCAATTTTCGATTGCTTGGTTCGGGAAGAATATTCATGATCTCCGGAAGCTGAAGGTATTCTTCTAGTCTTGTTGTGGAAATCTACAAAAAGAAAGAAAGAATGTCTCAAATTTAAAGAGAATAAGTTTAAGAAGTAGTATCCTAAGAATGTTATTCCTCACCATGGCATTGATGATAATCGGCACTATCACCGGAAAGATGAAGAGCGGCATAGTTAGCTGCGAAAAGAGTGCGAGACTGGCAAAAACGTTTCCCGCATCAAGATTTTGTTCCTCCAACCAGAAGTAAATCCCGAATGTGAAGAGAGTTACCAGAACGGAGAAAACGTGTGTTAAGAAGTCTGCAATATTAATTATTTTACCGATTTTTCTTACCTATATTAAATTTTCTTTTATTAAAAGAATTATAAGAATTATTATTATTATATATTATTATATATAAAAGAAATTATTAGCAAATAAAGTAAGACAAAAATCTAAAATACTTATTATAATTAATAAATATTGTAATAAAAAGGAAAGTTATTTACTGATGAGCGTCCAGTATATAGAATCCTTTTTCAACAGCTTTAATTCCTGATCTCTAGTTTTGCGTATGCGATTTTCAAATAAATTTTCCCAGGCGTGCAGCTTAATAAACCGTATCCCTTGAAGAATTTCATTAAGTAAACGAAGACGTGCATCGCTCTTTTCCTAAAGAATTGGAAAATTAAAGATCTAAGAATAAGACTTAAAATTTGGGAAACAATATATGTAACTTCCTTACCGCTATGAATTTGGAATTTTCGGACATTCGTTTCCCGAGAAGCAGCTGCATAGGTGTAACGATTAATATGCAACAACTTACTCCGATAATTGCACTCTTACCCAATTTCAAATACAAAAGGAAGATAATGGCAGTAATCTGTTAAACCAATTAAACGGTATTACCAAAATTTATAAAATTATTTTACATAATTTTGTATAATTTGGGAAAAGTTTTTTTTTCTTAAATATAGCGTTATATAATACGTATTTATCTACGTCTATGTGCATATCTATCTATTTAAATGTCTTTACTTTTAATGGAACGGCCCAGATGTAATGAATAATCCAAAAAAAATTCATTACATTGTACGCATCTTCGGCCATAAGATTTGTCAGAGTTCCAACATCAGTTGTTTGTTGTTGACAATGTTGTTCTTTATCTTTGTTCGATAGCTTTTCTTCCTCGGAGATACTCGAAAAAGATAATCGAAGAGCTTTATCGTAAATCAGTGCCTAAACAATTCAATTGTTTATTAATTAATTAAGATTCCATTAGCGTTTGATATTTCGCAAAGTTTTAAACGCATCAAAAATAAAAAAAGGAACAATTTCTAAATTCAAATTCAATTTATACAATTTCTAAATTTTTAACTCGATATAATTTCTAAATTCAAATTTCTAAATTAGATGCTTCACATATTAAAATCTGGAATCTTGTGTAAAACACAATAATAAAATACCTGAAGAGCTGTTCGCAAACGTATTCCTCCGACACATAGCACATGCGTGGAAGCTTGTTTTAACGTGCTCTGCAAGATCGTGGCAAAGAAAACAATAATCCCCAGAAAATATCCATTTTTCAGAATTTGAGAAAATACCATTGTTCCCTAAAAGATTATAAATTTAGATAACTAAGTATATTTGAAAACGAAATTCAAATGAATTTGAAGAATAACAAAGAGAGGAAATACCTTCGAGGGAATATTTTCATATGTTACATTTCTGTTCTGAAGATTTGATGCATAATTAATAATCATTGGAATCGTCATCGGACCTACTAAAGTCATGGCATCACCAAATAACTTCAAGATGCTACCCGCCAGAAAAGTTAACCATATACGTTTCCAGAAACATTTCCATAAAGATAATTTTTGTCCACGGCATCGCAGCTAGAAATTTAATTAAGCGTGATTCAAGCTATAAATATATATATAGAACATAATACAAAAATAAACTGCGTGGGACATAATTTAAATAATACTACTGAAACTAAAATTTGCCAAAAATTTAATTAATCTTCAGAATTATATACAATAATGAGAGATAATATATCACAATTTTATAACACTAAATGTAATAATAATAATAATAATAATAATATATTTTAATTACTTTTGGATTGCTCAAATTATATTACTGAGAGCTCATTGTTGCGAACGGAATTGATTTTTGTGAAATCTTTCTCGAGAGAAGGAGACGTAAAATGGCTACCTTCTCGGTCTCGTAAATATCGCGAAAACGTTTGAACTGATTCCTCGTGGTCTCTTCGTCTGGAAGTTGTCCAAGATCATGGAGTTCGAGCGGCATCTGGTAACCGTGTAACAGCAGGTCAGTTACCCAGTGGAAGGTGATCCTGCTGAGGAACGGCGAGGTGGAGAACACGTAGGAGTTCCGCGCGCTATCAGGACTTTGAACGGTGTACCGCCTGCTCCTTTGCATCTAACGACCGAAGCCGAAATATTATCATCGCGAATATATTTGCAGTGAGAAAACAGGCTGAAGTGCCGGACGACGCGATGTTTATATATTCGATATTCTACGCTGGGCAAAGACAGGAGTAAAACGTTGCAGGTGCTATTTGCTTTTATCGAGTTGAGGAAGTCGTAAATGCAAACGGGGTGGGTAAGATTTTAATGCATTCCTGTGAGATGGAAGAATCGTCGAATGTTTGCAAATGCTCTGCCATAAGTTGTGAGAATGCGCATTTCGAAAGATTATTTATCAACTCGAAAGAAATGGGGAAAAAGAAAGTAAAATGTTTTCCTCTGGAAGAAAGGATAAAAATAAGATTAAATTATATTATAGTTTTTCAATTTGAAACATTTCTTTATCAAAATTTTCTCTTAGAAAATTCTGTTTTTTTTCTTTTTTTAGTTCAGACCACACGATGATAATTTTATTTTTTTTTCAAATCTAAGAACTTCTAACTTTTAACTTCTTGGAATTTGAGACAAAACAACGAGTTTTATTTCTTCTATTTTATTAACTTCTAATTGCATTAATGTCGATTAAAATAAATTAATTAATAAATTAGGTAAAAATATTACTTTGGCTTCTATTCTATTGTAAAACATACTCTATGAAATGTTAATTATTAATTTTCTATAAATATCAATTTTATCTTTTAAAGACTTGAGGATTTTTTTATAGAGTATTTTAACAAAATTATTTACAAAAAATTTATTTCGCATTTAAAAATCTAACATCATTGTGCACAAGTTTAAAAGTAAATCGCAAATTTTAATTTAAAGAGCTGTTTAAATTAAATAATACAGACTTACCATACGATAAAGAGTATAAGAATCAATAAAAGCTAACAATCCGCAGCAAGCAGCCGTGATTCCTGTTGTCGTAACGCGAACAGATTGAATGGATAAACCAAGTCTAAAATAATAACATTTTAACGAAAAAACTTGATACAAATATATTTAATTTGATGTTAATTAGTGATGTTTTATAAATAAGATTGTTTTAGTGAATTCTCACAAAATGACACGTTAAACGCAAAAAACCAAGGCTAAGATTATATTTATATTAATAATTGTTGGTAATTATCAATAAGATACCTGCATAAGTATAAAAACTTCCACGCTCGTGAAAGACCGATTATTGCAAATCCCCCTGCCGACACGGCAGTACCAAAACCGTCCCTGATTTCGGTTTCGCGATGTAATATCCAACAAGATAGTATAGCAATCATCGTTAAAATCGACGATAATGAGATCGATGTCAGCATAGATTCACACAGTTCCAAAGAAAGAATCAACAGTAATAGTATACAAAGTAAAGTCCTACTGACGTGAAGCGGCAACAGCGACTTAGAAAAACTATAATAAAAATGTCTATGTTATACTCATATTAATTATATCTGTTTTATATAAATATTTATTAAATACAAAGATTGATTTTTTACTGTGCAATTGTTATTTAAATAATTATATAATAAATGTATGTGTGATTTTACATTAAGTACAAAATCATAAGTTAGCAACTTCTTGAATGTTATTTAATAAAGATTTATACATGCAATGCGATTTATACAGGCAAAATTCAAGGTAAAATAATAAAGTGAACAATCTTTATTCGAAAAATAAAAATTCTCTTTCAATATTCTTTTCCAAACAGGAAGTAAAAATTTTCTTTTTGTTTGAAATATTAACAAGATAAAATCGCAATTTAATTTTAATTAATAATTTTAATAGGCACACACACACACAAATTTTTAATTTTTATGTATATTCTCATTATGATTCTTACCTGAAAAGTTTCATATTGTATTATATAATTAATTAAATTCCCGCATGCATATCAATTATAATATAGAATTAATTTCATATAAATTGATAACGATTGCTCAAATGCTTCAATGAAAAACTCAAGAAACATTGAAATATTTCGTTATAAACATTTTGTAATCTCGTCAGGTATGCAGATATATTCAACAGGTAAAAATAAGATGATTAGAGTTTGGATTTGTATGCGTCTTAATGAACCTAAGTGGCCTCTGAGTCATTTCGCGTAATTTCTCGAGTCTATCGTTATGTCGCGGTGCCATTGATGTCAACGATATCATTTCATTATTTGCACAGGTATTTTTGTTAAATATAAATTAAATATTAAAAAACTGGAGAATATTAGAAGAATGCATATTGTAAAATAATATTTATATTTATAAGCCTACTTTGTGGCTTAATGAAATAAAAAATTATAGCTCGTGTATTCTATATTCGTCTATTTTTACTTTCATTAAAAAAACATGTAAAGATGATTCATTCAGAATTTTATTGATATATTGAAGGTTCTATTTATGTAGTCTATTATTAATTCCGTGATAATGACCGAAGCAGTGTGTGTACGTGAAGTTAGTTAATTTATAGACGACTGAAATCGCAACTTCGAAACAAGTTTTCTTCTGAGTTCGATAGCGAAGTAGAAGAAAGCAATACATCGTATAATTACTAAATTACTCTTCTTGCAATCTGCTGCGCGGGCCATGTTCTTGCAAAGTTACAAGTAACAAAGTAAACGGTGAAAGTCCCGTATGTTGTGTCTGACGTTACCCAGCATATTCTTGTTGTGCCTTCTTTGGGAAAACGGTGATTCGCTTAAGATGTAAATACGTGAACATTCCGTAAAACAATGAAGGAAATAAAAAAAAAAAAATGTAAATACTAACGATGAATACAACTTGCCAATGTAAGGGATTTATTAAATTTAAGGAGATCAAAATTAAATTCCTTTAAACTAAAACTTCTTATATATAAAAAATAAAATGACAATTTAAAATTTTTTATTAAAAATTACGCAAAGATTTTAACAATTAAAATAAAAGAATTAAACGTAACAGAAGTTTAACATAATTTAACACACAGAAGTTTAGAATTATGTTTTTATGTTATATTTTAGGATATTAAAATATAAGAAAAAAATTTATGAGGGAAAGAGAGAAATACATTTTTCTACTAGTCAATGTGCTTATAATCTTCGAATGACGATCGATGACGCGAATTGATGATCATGTGTATAAGAAAATATACATTTACTCTGGGAGAGAAAAAGATCCAAGTTACAACCTGTTATAAATTATTCCAGTAATTAATACGAGGCGCCTCTTTCATGCACGAGTGCATTCCGGCATTCCGTTTCATTAATTGCCCGCGCGTAATGAAAAGTCTCCTGGTGTCGATAAAGTACGTCGATCACGATTAACGGGATTGCTTCATTTTGCGCGACAAAAATTTTACACGTCCCAGGAACACGCTTGCTGTTATCGCTTATACAATATAGTGCTTGCGTGTAAAGTAATTGCTGAGTAAGATCTGGCGGCGAGACTTAATAATTGCTCTGTGTATGTATACCGAACATTGAACTATGATATTACACAGTAAACATAATCAATATTATAGCGAAAGTTTATTTGTATGTTTATTATAAATCGAGATAATTTATCTTTAAACAGCAATCTTCAAGTAATATCAGTTAACAAATTCCTTTATAGTTTTTAAAATATAAAAAAAGATTTTCTCTCTGTTGAAACATCTTAAATAAAACAAAATTTCATTTTTCTAGTCACTTAATTACATTTATTAAAATATTTTTAATAATAAATATATTGATATATGTAAGTTCAAAATTTGCAATAAATGTGTGCTCGTATCACATAATTAATTAAAGGAATTTCGAGCAAAGACGATATTGAGACACACCATTTATGAAAATACCAGAGAATTAAGCGATTCGTAGTCAGTTGCTTCTGAGAAACGTGAAGCTGCATTGCTATGTGGTGTGTAGAAAAATAATCAATGCTTTTTCGAGAAACGCTCCATTAATTATCATCAACACATTTCGTAAAAGAATAACTGGAAAACTGAACGTTTTAACGAATAAAATTCTGTCAGCTTTTATTATTTACCATTGCAACCTAATTATTATAGAATATAATATGTATAATATATGTATAATATATAAATAGAATTATTAAATTACCACTTCTGATTTTCTGATGACTACATATAATTATTGACCTTTGTACAATAAGGGGAATAATATTAGTTACTTGGAATTGTTATATATAATTATTCTAGGAGTAACGTGGAAAAATGATAAATACTTTGTGTGCCTTGAATATTGAATTAAGGATGACGCACAATTACTGGCGGCTTATGGCATCAAGTGGAGCAAATTCCTTGACAGAAACATAACCCTCGCTTGAGTCATGGGGCATCCCCAAGCGAATAAAGCATTTTTCGTTTAATTAAAATTTATATTGATTAAATCCCTGTGATCCCGAAAAGTTTTATATCTCATTGAATATTTGTGTGATTAATTAAAATACAACATTACACGAAAGCATGTGTGCAATCAATTAATCATTCATATCTCATATCTCATATGAGTTTTTCAATGTGATTGTAAAATAATATCTCTATTAATTTAATTAATCGCATAAAATAATTATTTTTTATAAATTACAAATAAAGTTTAATATTTAGAATATGAATTTTCGTGCTTATGTTTATACTTATATATAGTGTAAACTTAACTAAAATTATTACAATTGTTAAAAATTGATTTAAATATGATATTTTTTTCTTCAACTTACTTGCGATTCACGCTGCATTTGTACTTGAAAATTAAAATTATGGCAACGAGTACGGTGAAAATAGCGACAGAGACGTTTATCAATTCGATGAAACATTCGGCCGGCGAATATAGATTCTTTTCCGGTATCTGAAATATTGTGCCATTCTCGGCTTGCCAAGACCAAATGATTTGTTTTGTGAGTCTTGGAAGTGTATGTAGAAACTTGTGTTGTTTGCAAAAATCCATATTAACCGTGTGCATGCAGAGCTTTTAATAACTTTCATACGAATTTTTATCTGTGACACATTAATTGTTTTACATCTAGAAGAAGAAGTCATACATTTTTATCAATTGGATGATAAAAAAAGTTTTTATAACGGTAATATACAATAATTATAATAAGTTAATTATTTATTATAAAAGTAATAGAAAATAAATATTTCTAAAATGTCTACTATGAAAAGGAGTGCATATCAAATTTATATAAATGAAGATAAATTATTATTATTTAATATTTGTAAATTTGAATAAATTAATGAACTATTAATCGTATCATTGGATTTTTCAAAATTATTTTTTTTATGTTATATCGAAATAGAATTTTCAAAATCCTTCGACGAATTAGATCTGTCTTACGTTTAGGAATTTCCGCACTCTTCGTGGATTATTTTTGTCGAACGCTTTGTGATTTCTAAAAATATACCAAAGTGTTGAATAACTTTCAACATTCGATAACGCGAGCACGTGTGCTAATAATTACACAAAACTTCATTATTCATGCGTAGTAATTTCGGAAGGTCAAGGATGAAATCAATAAAATAATAAAATTAAAATTTAAAACGATGTGCGCGTGAAATAAGTTCGCAGTAAGATGGGATTATGTTTTATTCGCAATTTTTGTATTATAAAATCTAGATAAGAAAGAATTATAAGACGCAAATAATGTTCTATTTTTAGAAGAATAGTTTCTGTTAATGATATTATAAAATAAAATTAAATTAATAAAAACAATACTTTTAGATATGTAATGATTTGAAATTAATATATATATATATTATATCTTATTTATATGTCGAATTTCTTACTCTCAACATTGTCTAATATGTATATTTAATAAATGAAAATTTTTTAATAAAATTCCACAAAAAAGCAAGATTAAACAATTAATTAAATTTGATAAAAACTTTCTTAAAATTACGTTAACTTTTACTTCTTATATTAATTTATATGTGTTTTTATTTAATTGTAAATATTTATGTGTAACGACAATGCATCCACAAATAACATTATTTTTTGTTTATATATTTAATTATCATACAAAACATAATGACATAGATTGTATTTTGAAAATTTACGATAAACATCATATTAACATTTTTATTACTTTACTTATATTTTTTTAAATAATATAAATAAAATAATAACATTTTAATTTATTTATGCTAATTAAAAAAAATAATACAAATCATTTTAAATTTGATTTAATTCTAGTTGATTAAAAAACAAAACGCGATAAGAAATATTCATTACAAATTATGCGAAATAATAAAAAGGAAATAACTTGTTAATTTCTCGTGATTCAGCTTTCAGATCTTAATTTTAAGTATCTTATTTCTAGTAGATTGGTTTGTTTATTAGATATCTTACCTGTTGATTAGATTAATGCCATTTTTCTAATTTACAATTTGTTTGATCAATTGTGCTGATAACTATATTTACAAATGCGGATAACGTTAATGCGATTTGCAGATGCGACGATTTGTTTCCTCGAATTAATGCAGAAAATCGAAATGCTTTATTTTCGTTTTACACTTGCAATTGCGCATGCCGCACATGGTACCGACAAGAGACACAGAAGCCACACGTCCTCCCTCGCCAATGGTTCACGCTCTACTGAGATGAGAACCGAACAGAATGCCGATGGTAATTCCATGTGTACGGTGAATCATTACTGAAAAAGAGGAACCCACATATGAACACAATAATAATATAGAAACCGGTATAATTTTGTTGAGCTGAAATTTGGAATAAGACATGCGAAATTCTCGCGCAAGTGAATGCAATTTTTGTTACATGCATCATTTTAAGTTTCTCTTTCGTGCTCTTTACGCTAAATTCAAAAATATACAAACGATATTAAACATAGAACTCAAATATTATTTGGCTAATTGCCAGATACTGAAAAGGAACTTTTTTTTCGAAGTGGAACAAAACATTATATTTTGTAGTAAGGCGATAATATAAACTATAAAATATATTCTAACTATACATATAACTCTAAATATATTCTAATATATACTAATTATAAAATATATTCTTAGCAAATGTAGCCGGATAATTAAATAAAATTGTATGTCAACTTTTTCTTTCAAAAATTTTACGCGATATACAGAAAGTTTAGGAAAATCTAAACGTAGCATGTTAAATGTTGCTAGAAATATTTAAATAATATTATTGTTTTACAAACAATATAAAAAATTGAAAAATATATGAAAATAATAAATTGATTAAAGATAAGAATAATTAAAAATAAAAATACATATAATAAATATGTCTATAAATATAATTTTACAGATATAAATTTAATATAGATAATAATTTAATGTCTAACTAATCATTCTCTCCCCTTGATTTATGAAAATGAATATGCGTAAAGAAGAATTTACCTGTTTTTGGCATTGAAAATTGAATTCGCGAAAATACGCTGATTTCATCGCTGATTTTTCGTCAGAAAACAAACTAAGCAGTCATGCGTCTTTACTGAACGTTTGATATCTCAGAAAGCAACGTGGTATCTGTAATTTTCCTATAATGAGACCAGTCACGGGAATTGCACTCTATTAATCTATAGCTATATCTATAGCTCTATTAATCTATAGATATATCTATAGCTATTTTAGCAAATGACCTTAGTCATAGCTTAATTTTATTGAAGCTTGATTTTAGCTTGATTTTATCGACTTTTATTGAAATTATATCAACTTAACTTTATTAGAAGGGAGCTTCTGTTTATATCTCAATCAATAATTCCTTCGTCACAAGAAACTCAAATTTTTCATTTTCGATTTTACTTTTTATTGACAAGATGAGACACTCTTAATAGCAAAAGAATTAGATTATTATAAATTAAATAACTGAATATGCAACTTTATCGGATAATTTTTGTATGTCGCAATGGCATTTATGCACCATTTTGAAACACAGCATGCTTTATTTGCTTATCTAGCGATTAATTAATAATGTATGGTAATTTTCTGTCTCGCCATTCATAATAAATTACGTTTTCCAGTAAATATATCGAACGTAATAAGAATTATCGGTCGTCTTTATCGCGTCTTCCAAAAAGTATACTCCGGAATAACCAGTTCATGGCGTGCATAACTATCCTCTTAACATCCCGTTTCTGCAGAATAATATATTGCCTGCATTAACTTAGTTTATATATTATTTGCATCCCCTGTAGTTTGCAGAAACGGAGATCTGCAAAATACATTATATAAATAAATTGAAAATTAATTTCACTTTTAAATAAAGTATGTTAAAACAATATTCGAATGTATCGAGGTTTATTGTTGTCTCATTTCCGCGATGACGATTGGGTTTATCGCTTACTTTATGAGCGGCTACTACTGTTAAAATAGCATATTATGCAACATTATGTCTCTCGTCCAGATGGATATATATGTAGTAACGTGCTGGATATATGTTTCCGCTGCATTATCCTCAACAAATCATTTTAAAGGTTAAAAAGCTCTCGTCTTGCGCCCCCTATAAGGTTGCCATATTAAAACTTTCAAAGCTAGGACTTACAAAACCAAAAACCCCGGACATTTCGATTGCAAATATAACGATTTATGTAACATTTAATGTTGAGTTATCAAAAGACGCGTTATAGTCAGCCTCGTGTCAGTCAGATATTATTTGTAATATTGTATCGAATATTTCATTTTAAATACGTACATTGTTGCTGTACGCAACCTTGAGCATTGTTTACACGCCGTGGCTGCGCGCGCCGCGTGTATACACAGCACGTGTCGTATTTACGAGCTCTCCTGCGTGCTATCATTCTTTAAACGGCATTTGTACGAACGGGGTAGCGGCGCGCGGGTCACTCCGCATTTCCCCGCGTTTCTCCGTCCCGGTGAACAGAATAGGAAGAAATTTTAAAGATATCTTAAAGTTATCTTATGCGTCAATTTTAGACATTCTGCTCATATTACTTCGTATTTCTTCGCATTTTTGTAATATCAAATAAATGATGAAATCTATATCTCATGAAGTAGTTTACAAACTTATATCTTACGAAGTACGATGTTTGCTACATCTTATAATAATGCTTATATATAAATGCTTATTAACTGACATGATTAACAATGCGATTTTTTGTAAGCGTACCGAAACGACGATTTTTTTTTAACAAACTATGTATATACACATTTCGGGCGACTTATTTCACTTCGCGCGCGCTATTTATTTTTTTAACTAACATCTCACATAAGTACCAATATTAACATTTGACAATTATATACTTCGCTATACATGAAGCGAACAAAGAATTAATCAACATCGCGAGAAAATGTCACAATTAAAATCTTACATACTTTAAATCATTCTATGAATGGAAAATTAATCGCGCCGGATTTTACTTGCAGCGGATAATTGAAAAAAAAAAAATATTCCGAGGGCGGCCGTGACAGTTGGTGGCGGTAGCGTCGAGGATAACTCGTTCGAGAAACATGTTCGAAAACACGACGGGAGGATGTGGATGGATGCAAATATCGTTGTGATTGCGGTGTGCCGCGGTGGTTGCCGAGGTAACGTCGCATAAGATGAGCCGGCATGTCCAATTCGGCGCGATTTCTTAGCGGACTGCTCGTCCTGCTACCGGCTATTGCGCTGTGCGATGGCGCGGACACGTACGAGGTCGACTGCAATAACCTGCGGATGGGACAGTACATGTGTCCCCATCCGGATTACGATTTCATAGATCCGAAGACGCAGCAACCGCGCGGCTGCACCAAGGAGAACAAGGCCAAAGGTAGGGATTCGATCGTGGCGAGCAACGATATCGGGATCGCGAAGAGGGGAATTGTCCCTAACCTCAATCTCTCGCATCGTCTCGCATTACTTTGCATCACTTTGCTCTTGTCGCGCGGCTCTTTACATCAGTACTGTCTAGGATCTGTAACTTTGGAAGACTAGTTTGAGATTGTTCAAGTTTTTGACATGTGTGTCAAAAAGATTTTATTTAAAAATATATTGTGATATTATTTTTAATTATAATATTATATTTTATAATAATTATTAAAAATACGTGAATAATAATATATAGTAAAAGTTAGATTTTATGCATACATTTTAAATACATATGTATATATCAAAAACTTTCAATGATCTCAATCATCTCTGAGATCAGTTTTTATTGGAAAAAGACATTCAGATAGCATAAGAAATCTTGAAATCATCTAGAATATGCTAGGATGACTTAGAATATCCTGAACTCATCCAAAATGATCTCAGAATATTTGTGTTCTCTGAAGCTATGAAATAAGGAATAAAAAGACAATAGCCATGAATATCAACTGTATCTATTCTCATAGCTTAATATTACAAATCATAACATTCAGATTATGGACAGTATTGTTCTATATGTTCTTGAATATTTTATGCATTTTAAACGAGATAAATGTATTTCTCTTTGGAAAGAGTAAAATGTTAGCCAACCAGAACTAATGCTGATTTGTTTATTTATTAAGTTTTCTATAAGTTTATGTTGTAAATATGATTCTATATTGAATAGTATTGTATATTTGAAGATAATAATTTGGAATTAACTAACAAATCTCTAAGAGAATAATTCTCAAGATTGAACATAGATTCATATTTCTGCTAGTGCTATGTCTAGCTGCTGATGGCCTTATCTGTACAGAGACCAAAAATAATACGTTCAAGAAGGATATCCCTTGCAAATGGACGTAAGTGTAATTCTTGATTGTCTTAAAAAAAATTAATCAAAATTATTAGAATTGTGGACATTCACTTTAGAATTATTGCTTTTAGAAATGGATATTCCTTTGAAACTTCATTATTGCTGTCGATATTCCTGGGTATGTTTGGCGTGGATCGATTTTACCTTGGATATCCCGCCCTAGGTTTACTCAAGCTAAGCACATTGGGGTTTCTCTTTCTTGGTCAGTTTGCCGATGTGATACTGATAGCCACTCAAATCGTAGGACCAGCAGATGGTTCGCACTACGTGATGCCATATTATGGTGCCGGAATCAACATCGTGAGGAGTAACAATTTTACATACAGAGTGCCACAATACGACTGCTGAGAGAAAACAGCATGTCAGACATACAAGTGCTGATTTCTCCATAAAAAAGAAAATTGTATAGCTTCTGCTTCTATCGCGAGCAACGATGTATATTCCTAGAATGGAGTCCTACTTCGTTATATACATTTCAGTGTAAATTAATCTATTCTATTCTAATAATAGGGTAATAACTCAAACGCATTAATTTGTAGATATATCTTTCAACGAAGAAACTGTATATAAGGATTTATATTATACTGATTTACGTATTGCCAGCTGTTAAATAATAAAAAACATTTTTTTATTTCTAAGGGTCTCTATCATTCATTGTGCTTTCCAATTGCAATCAGAATTTCTCGGAATGCAAATATCAATTCATGAATACCGCAATTATGACTCAATCAACCTTGAACGATTTGTCACGCGATCGTAAACTCTTCGTAACGTTGATGCACCGGCGTAATTTGATTCGTACGAGCCCACATTCGTTCCCAATCTCTCGCTCTTCTGACGTGAAAATGAGATAAAGTAAACGTTTATTATATTATTATTATATCCGTTAATCCTTATTTTCATGCGCGAAACTTGTTAATGGCACTTTGCGCACGAACATCTCGCGTTCTCCGAAATCCTGAGACGATTCGGAAATCTAATTGAAGATGCATCACGTTACCATTTCGCATTATATACATATCAATCGGCACGTTTTCGATATGAAAGTATTTAAGCACATCTCTTTTCCTGACAAGCTCTTTAAAGGTGTTATCACTCCGTGAGAATTGAAAAGACAGACGCGATTTATTAAATCGGTGTTATTCTGAAGACATCGGTCGTCGTGAGACCAGATGTTCCGCACGATGATTTCAACTATGAAGATTCTATTTTGGATTTTATCACTTGGAGTTATACTATTAATTGCGATAGTAAATCATTCACCGAGCACTTCTGGAGTAAGCAATTTCATCATCGTGTAATGCCTGTCGTATATACATCTAATTGTATATTTAATTTTTACATAAATAGAATGAAACTAGAACACATTATAAGAGAAATTTATAAATCTTAGAAGCTTTTGCTGAAATGCCAAGATATGTATAAAAAAAATAAATTCCTTTTTTATATATTTACGTACATTTTTCGAATGATGTAAATTCTTTTTCAAAAGATGTAAATTTTATTAAATATTGTGTGTCCGTTTTACTATTAATTTTTACATCAAGAAAATCACTCTTGCAGCATGCTGATAATGTAGAAAAAATCGCTGATCTACAAATAATTCATCGGCATCGACGCGCAGTTTGGCCTAGTACTATACATTATTGCAAAGTCAATCAGTACTACGACCACGAAGAAGGACGTTGCCTAGGTGTTCCAGGAGGTGGCAAGGTGCTTCATGTTGAAAGTAGACGATCGTGCGGCGTCAACATATTGAAGCCGCATTGCAGAAGTTCTTTGTATTATCACATCTGCAAGCGTGACAAGTCGATCCTGGCGCAATGTGCAAACAGACAGATCTTCGACAATCGTCTGCAGCGATGTGTCTACTACGATTCAAGCAAATTAATTCCAAATATTATTCCACCGGACGAATATATGTATCACCATCACATTAGCGTGCCAAGTTGCACGAGATCTGGTCGATTTCCCATCCCCAGCCACTGTTCTATGTTTTATACATGCGATTCCAACGGACATCGATTCTATCAAAACGTTTTCAAATGCCCACAAAACACAGGATATCACATGGATAGAGGAATGTGCATCGTTATGTCAGACTGCGTGAACGATAATTCGGTGGATCCTACAGTCTGTGTTCCAAACGCTCCAGGTGAGAATGTAGAATCTCTAAATTCCAATGAAGATACAGAGGGAAACGTGAAAGAAACCTCTGTGATATTTGAAGGAAATGAAGCAAGCACAAGCGATTCTATCATAGAAAATGAAGAAAATGTAAATTTTAAATCTTATGATGACGTCACTGCTACATCTGTAAATATAATGGATACACCAGAAAATAATCATGACAGCGATACGGACGATACAAGCTTATTGTCCTCGAAGTCAATCAAAGAAGTTTCAGTTCCAGATGATATTAATGAAATGATGATGCATAGCCAGATATCAGATTCTCCAGAAAACGCACAAACAATACCTGATGAAAGACAGAATGAAGAGAATGAATCGCTATTTGGTTTACAAATTACATCACCATCAACGATAGAATTTGATGATGCATCGCATTCCATCACGATTTCTATGACTTCAATCAAGCCGGAATATCGTACAAATGACGACATTGATAGTGAGATAACTAATACTGCATCGCTCTCTCCGGATAGTTACATATTATCAAAATTAAACGAAGAAACACAAGATGTAACTACGAAACAGTATAAAAATATCGAGGATGGCGTAGTAACGTTATCAAATTTCAATTCTGAAGCGATCGAACATCCGTATCCAACATCAACAATCTTTAATGCACCCGAAATCGACGACGTATCATACAAGACAAATGAAAATATACAGGATATTATTACAGAAGAAAACATACACGATGAAGACGCAGTGACGCCATCCAATTTTAATATAGATTCCTTTGATTCACATTCGGCATCAATAGTAAGTAATGTACCAGAATCATCTCCAGTCAGTGATATGCCATCGGAAATCGATGAAATGCCAGATGCAATTACAGAAGAATATAGAAACATCGAAGACAACGCAACGTCGCTATCTCCAATCAATGATATGCCATCAGAAATCGGTGAAAAAGTGCCAGATGTAATTACAGAAAAATATAGGAACAATGAAGACAGCGCAGTGTCGCCATCGAATTTCAATACAGACTCGATTGATTTATACTCAGCATCAACAGTAAGTGACGTACCAGAATCATCTCCAATCAATGATATGCCATCAGAAATCGGTGAAGAAGTGCCAGATGCAATTAACCGAAAAATATAAAAACAATGAAGACAGCGCAGTGACGCCATCGAATTTCAATACAGACTCGGTTGATTTATACTCAGCACCAACAGCAAGTGACGTGCCAGAATCATCTCCAATCAGTGATATGCCATCGAAAATCAATGAAATGCCAGATGCAATTACAGAAGAATATAGAAACATCGAAGACAACGCAACGTCGCTATCTCCAATCAATGATATGCCATCAGAAATCGGTGAAGAAGTGCCAGATGCAATTACAGAAAAATATAAGAACAATGAAGACAGCGCAGTGTCGCCATCGAATTTCAATACAGACTCGGTTGATTTAAACTCAGCACCAACAGCAAGTGACGTGCCAGAATCATCTCCAATCAGTGATATGCCATCGGAAATCGATGAAATGCCAGATGCAGTTACAGAAGAATATAGAAACATCGAAGACAACGCAACGTCGCTATCTCCAATCAATGATATGCCATCAGAAATCGGTGAAGAAGTGCCAGATGCAATTACAGAAAATATAGGAACAATGAAGACAGCGCAGTGTCGCCATCGAATTTCAATACAGACTCGGTTGATTTATACTCAGCACCAATAAGTAAGTGACGTACCAGAATCATCTCCAATCAATGATATGCCATCGGAAATCGGTGAAGAAATGCCAGATGCAATTACAGAAGAATATAGAAACATCGAAGACAGCTCAATGACACCATCAAATTTCAATACAGATTCGGTTGATTTATACTCGGCATCAACAATAAGCGATCTATCAGAACCCTCTCTAATTAGCGATCCGTCATCAAAATTAAATGAAGAAACACAGAATGTAACTACAGAAATGTACAAGAAAGATGATGGAACATTATTAAATCCTATTATTGAAGACGATCAAAATCCAACAGCATTAAATGACACGCCAGCAACTGAAAATATTTCGAGAAATTATGAATCTGATGTATTATCTTCTACACCTACAATTTTGTCACCTCAAACAGCTATCGATGGCGCTACCACGGAAGGATTATTTGAAACTATTCCTTTAACAAATAATAAATTCGAAGACACCAATTCAACATTGGATGGAGAAAATAGTTCTACACAATATTTATCCGAGGATACTGATAATTTATATTTGACAACAACAAGATCTATTTCAAGTTTGGAAGACATAACTGAATCAAATATTGCTACTACACCTTTCACACAAAATCTACCTACTGTTTCAGACACAGATTTGATAACGCAAGTTGATGAGAATAGCAAAGAAGTATCACAGGATTCTTTAACTGAATAAGATGCTATGATTGCAAATAATTATATATGTCTCAGTTTTGTAAATAAATTATTTATAATATATATTAGGATATATAAATATCGATAAACATGTACATGAATGTTAGACTTTTCGTAG